CGTATTGGAACGGTGGCTGTAGGTCGAAAAGTCTAGTCTGTAGGGCTCAATTGACCTACAAAGCACTGAAAACCCATTAATCCGTAACAGGCGTTTTTGTTCCATTTTGGGTTTTTTTCCGGTCTGTAGGTCGATTCTCCGGCTGCAAGTCAAAACTAAATTTTGCGGCCAGAGAAGTCTGTAACTCGAAAAGTCTGTAACTCAAAAAGTCTGTAAGTCGAGAGTCCACTGTAAAACAAGAATTAAAACAGACAATAGCCAAACAAAAAAGAGAAGTAAGCAAAGTCCAAGATGGGAAAACACAGGGAACTAAGTGATGGAAAGGGGGAAAGCCTGCCTGAAGAACCAGGTCTTCACTATATTTTTATTCTCAGTTATCTAACACAGTTATCCACATATATCTTGCGGTATCTCTTTATTAATTACTATTATAGATAAAGAGGGACATGGTGGCGCTGCGGGCTAAACCGCAGAAGCCTTTGTGTGCTGCAGGGTCAGAAGACCAGCAGTCGTAAGATTGAAACCACACGATGGAGTGAGCTACCATCGCTTTGTCCCAGCTCCTCACCAACCTAGCAGTTCGAAAGCATGTAAATGCGAGTAGATAAATAGGTACCACCTCAGTGAGAAGGTAAACAGCGTTCCGTGTATAGCTGCGCTGGCTGCGTGACAATGGAAATTGTCTTCGGACAAACACTGGCTCTATGGCTTTGAAACGGGGATGAGCACTGCCCCCTACAGTCGAACATGACTGACTAAAATGTCAAGGGGAACCTTTACCTTTATCTATAGATAAAACTCAATATCAGAGGCTTTTTAAAATGCACTTCATTCCCCCCCTTTGTTCTCTGTTCACATTGTCTCATTGTTTATGCTTTGTCATGGAAAGTCGCACTCACTGAACGGGAATCCTCTGCCATGCTATCTAAACAAGCTAGATGTGTTGGTATTGCAATGCAGTGGTCCCCAACCTTGGGCCTCCAGATGTTCTTGGACTACAACTCCCAGAAGCCTTCACCATCACCTCTGCTGGCCAGGATTTCTGGAAGTTGAAGTCTGAGAACATCTGGAGGCCTAAGGTTGGGGACCACTGGTGTAATGTAAGCTATCTACCAACCTGTAGTTTTTGCACATCCTTTCACTTTTAATGTACCTTTGACTCACTTTTTAAAGAACCTTTTTGAGAACCTTCCTCTGTCTATTCCCTCTCACTAAGCTATTTCTTTTAGAATGTGCCCTAGAAGGTACAGAGGAGAGGAACAAGACCATATCTACTGCTTAAAGGAACAGGAAAGGAAGCAAGACTCATCAACAGACCCACAGGAATATCAGCCTAAGATGGGGGTTGTTAGAGGTTGGTAAGTCTAAAGGACTGATTAGCCTCCCCAGCTTTCTGCTTTCAAATCCCTTTGTGGACATCTGGGCTGAATAGGTGCTAAGAGGTAATGCTTGGAAAACGCTCGGCCGACAAGAGTATGATGTAGAATTGTGGAGAAATTAAGCACAATTGTACAAATATCACTTCAATGCAATAACACCTTAACACAAATTATACAAGATTATTATAGCTGCAGCTTTATTGCCTGTACTTTTAAGAATTAAAAGCACTGGAAGTGTTGTTTTTGTCTTCTTCTCCCTTAAAATTAGCCTGTTATTCTATGCATGCTTCCTCAGTGTGTTACGTGTCTCAAAGGAAAGGACACTAATTCTAGTTTTGATCAGAAGCAGTTTCTGAAAATTATAGATACTGATGAGAGAGGAAAAAAAACATGACTCAGTGTTTCACTCTCATTTGGAGGCCTGGAATTTGGTAGGGCTTAAAGATTTCTTCTCTATGCATTTGTGCAAAGTTGAGAAAGCCTAAGCAAAGGCTAACAATAACAAAGAATCTAGCCAGAATTATTTACATCTCTGTTCACTGCACACTGTTAGAGGCCATCATCTCATCTGTAGTAGTACCAATGCCTGAAAATACAAAGCACCCAACTCTGCCAGGTCAGTTAGCTTTGGAGAGAAGGTAGAAAACTCCTGGCTGAGGTTTTTCAGTAGTCCATCTGAAAATTTGTTCCAGTAGGAAGTTGCTTCAACATGTGTTGCAGTTTAGCAATCTTTGGCATTGGTCAATAAGAGATGAGAGGTGTCTAAAATGTGAAGCTGGGGAGTTGTTGCTAAACTTCCTGTCTGTCCTCCAACCTGTCCATAACAACTGCTCTTCCCTTTTTTTGATTTTGGCAGTATTATTTCTGCAGCCACTATGTTAGCACTTTCTTTGTGGCTGAGATTCTTGTGGTGAATGGTATTGTTTTCTGCACAACAGCAGAAGCACTCCATGTAATCATCTAATCTGATGTCATGAGCATCCCAAGAGGGACACAGCCACAAGGCTGACAAAAAGTTAGGCCAAGGTGACAGTAGCCCTAAGTAATTTCCACAGCTTCTGCATTGGAAGGGGTTTGGATTCAGCTCAGCTGACCTATTACCTCACTGGGCCCTCAGCCATCCAGCTAGTTAGAGATGGCACTCTAAGTCACCACAGAATTCTATGTGTATTCAGTGAGGTGGGAGGGCGAGTCCCATTAAAAAGACTTCTGCGTGGTTCAGTATATGTCTGTACATGTTTGTAACACTGTTAGGGTGTTTCTTTATTTCTTTTTTTTCTTTTAGACAATGGGCTGTATCCAGTACTTCAGCTAGTTTTGCTCTTTTTTGAGAACAAACTGTTTACAAAAGATAATTTACCTTCATTTTGGAGAATTTCTGCATGACTGTGTAGAAGGTTGCTTTTTCAATAAGCTAGTGATCCATAGTCTCCCAAGATTCGCCTTGCCCATTAGTAAAAAGCTTTCCGTTGACATTTGTCTCATTAGTATTATTTGAATTTCTGTTCCCAGAAGAATGAAAAGTACTTTTTCATGGTTTATCACCTCATGGTTCAGTATCTCTCTGAGGCACATTGGTAAAAACTATCAGTATAATTCTCAGGTGAAATCTGTTCCAAATGAAGGCAGCAGTTCCTTTGCCCTTCAATGTTTGCTATTCTTCAATACGTTATATACTAATACCAAATATGTTCTCTGAGCACCAATCTTCATATAGATAAAACAGACTTGGCGATTCCCAGTTTTTTTGCAGCACACAAAAACCCACAGAACAAAATCCCGAGGAGGGAAGGAACCTGGACAGCCCAATGAGGAGTGTCTAAGTACTTTCACTAGCCACAGAACAAGGGTCAAAATTATACTGCTCGGTAATATTTGCACACAGCACTTAGTTGTGCTCACGGTGGGACTTCTTCAGATCTTGTGCATGGATGCATCTAGTCCTGGTGGAGCCTTCCCACTGCCCGAAACAGTGCATCCTGGTGCCCTTCTCCGAGTCACAATCTCTTCACATGCTCCATTGCTGGGTTTCTGTATTCATGTTTGCCTGCTGTGTGCTTTGTAGTGGGAAGATGCTTGCCACTAATATGCCTGGAGGGACACACAGCAGATAAGCAAGGAAGTCTGAGATTAGGGGAAAGGGGTGACCCTATTGTGGAGAAAGGGGAAGGTGAGGTGAGGTTGATGTGTCTTTTTGCTGCTTATTGTTGAGGAGGATGTATAGAAAACTAGGAGAATGAAGAACTGAATGGAGTGTCCTGGAAATATGTGGATACCTGACCCTAAACTGGAGTACTCATGTTGCAATTTTTTAATTGCAGATCACACTTATACTGTATTTAAATCTAAGTTAAAGTAGGGTTCTGTGGGGGGGGGATATAAGTCACCAGAGACAGGGGCTGGGTATCAGTTGGCAACAGATTTCAGAAGGATTTGCAAATGGCCAAGAAATAAACTTTTTAGATGGAAGCGGGTGCCATACAAATAACATATGCAAACCAGAATTTATATTGCCATAACTTCTTTTAACGTTACCAGTTTGTGTTTATGAAAGCTGAGACTGGAACCTTAAGAGAGTAGATACTTTATCATAAATATGAGCATCATGAGCAATGATAATGCAAAAGAGGAGAACAGATTTGCTCATGTGTATCCTGTTCTTACAAGTACCGTACTGAGATTTGGCAGGTTCTGCACCATATAAAAAACCTGGCAAATCTGCTAGTTTTTCTTTTCTGATAATGCAGTTGACAGTACCATGTCATTCATAACGTTAGTTTTCTTTAACCTAAATCCTACTGTTATTACCAATATTCACTGTTAACATAATCCATTAGGTCATGTAGGAAGAGAAAGTTACTTGATACTATAATATATTTGTTAATATTCTTAACTTTTTAGAGCTCAAGAAACATTAGGCTAAAAATGAGGCATTATTTTTTTTCCTAAAAGCATGCTATTTCTTATTTGTTTCAGGCCTTACTAGAGACTCAAATTTTACTACGCACTCAGGTTGCAAATTTTACCTTCAACCTTGGATTTTCAGGAAAGTTTTACCACACAGGTAAGAAGGAATTATATAGTTTCAGGTAGCAGTTAAGCAAGCGGACAATTGTAAAGTAGTGCCCTCCTAGCATGGTTCATAAACAGCAATGCAATAGTGAAGTTAAACCTGACCTACAAGCATTTGAAATTCTTGAAGTTTTTAAAGCTGTTGTCAAGAGACTTTCCTTCCCAAACTTTCCTATAGCATTAGAAGTAATACTAGAGCTGCGCCCAAACTACACTTAAATATTTCCTCATCAGAAACAAGTTTTCACAACTGTATAAATTTATTCCCTCAGGAGTGGGGGATTAAGAACAAACTTTGGCCTTATAAAGGACTGTTTGAGAAAGCTGAATGTCAAATTTATGTCATGCCTCCAAAGGTAGCTTATCAAACATTGAAATGTGCACCCTCACTCCCCATGGGAATGCCCTGTGGATGTATAACAGGCATACAACTAGATAAATCAAAATTCATATGCCAAAATTTGTGGGTGTTTAGTTATACATGTACATATTTAATATTTTAGAATCCAATTCCAAATGTTCACATGCAAATTTAAGTCATGGGAATTTCAAGCCCTCCAAATGGTGTCAACATTACTGAGCTGATGGCAGAGCAGCAAATTGGTAGATTCATTTCAAAAGCATACTAACGTAAAAGGTACACCTAGATCATTTTCCTGGGCAGATAATGTCAGTGGAGAGATTATAAAAGAAGTAGATGTACTGCCAGGTACTTATGCCAGCTCAAGACAAGGTAAAGTTGGTGCCATCTTTGCCTTTCTTATCCTTTCAACTAGAATAAAGGGCAAAATGTTGAAAAGTGAAGTTTCTGCCTCCCTTTAAGCAGGAGTCATAGATACACAATGCATCTCCCACTGTATCTTCACATGGTTATGAATTGAACTTACTAAAATAAAAATATATAATTGAGGATGTGCTGTGGAATCTTCGGGAGGTTTTTTGTGTGTTTTTTAAAACTGTATTGCTCTACCCAAGGGAGAAAAAGATGTGGATTAAAGGAATTTAAATTAAATGAAAAGAGGATTACTTCACCTTTTCGGTTCTAAGTAATTAATTGATTGTGCTCCTCTCCTCATGCCATCATGACTGATGCTGCAGATTAGCATTACCTGCTTCCAGTCACATTTTTGGATTTCCAGTCTCTATCCGAGCCCTGTTTAAAGCCTTCTCTGTGTTTAAACTTTATTTAACTGCAGCCTTTTACCTAGATATATATCTTCTTCATTAAGAGCCAGCTTTAAAGGTTAGCAGAGATTAGGGGCAGGGAGGTGCCCAGTGTATCCCCCTTATGTCTTATCCTACTTCCAGGCTTTAGCAGAACCCATACTGAACTGTTAAATCAAAGAAATGAAGAAACGGGGGTTGTTGTCATAATACAAATAAACGCATGTATGTGTTATTTTGCCTCTTCAGCAATTGTTTGCACCTCAGCCTGTGGGACATGAGGTGAAATGCTAGGAACTCATTGCTCATTCTATTGAACAAATAGCTGACATTTGTGGTCCTACAGGACAGGATACATGCTTCCAGAACCAGCTTATAGCTGGTGTCCTTCAATCTTGACCTCCTTCAATCTTGACCTCCTTTTCATAGATGCTCCAGAACCAGCTTATAGCTGGTGTCTTTCAATCTTGACCTTCAATCTTGACCTCCTTTTCATAGATGGCCAATGTGTGGATCAAGAATGACACCACATTTTTTAAACCCACCCTTGACATCTGGACTCTGTGTGACTATAGTTTCCTGTCAGGTGAAGAGCCCCTTCTTTAAACTGCTGTCTAGTACATGGAGGTCTGGTAGCAGTGGGTGCGATGTTGTGGGAAGGGTAAATGGCTGCCATCACTGCACCCTTGTATTCATGCATTATGGACTTAAGGCAGCATTTGTGTACAAATTTATGACTGAGTAAATCCCATTGTATTCAGTGAACTTTTTAGGAGACATACTTAAGTTCGGAATGCAAATGTTCTATATCTCTTTCTACTATGATGACTTAGTAGAATAACTAGTTGTTATCTCAAAGCCATTTGAAGGACATTTTGAGTCCTACCTTTTGGCTGAAGTTACACATACTTGGTGGTCTCAGCTTCATGTGCCAGGAGAGGTATTTTGCAATGCTGTCAACAAGATAACAAAACAAAGCTTTTTTTTTCTGAAGAAATTATGAAAAAGTATGTAAAACTGCAATAATATGAACTGGACTAAATGATTATTCATACTTCATCACACCAGTTCTAAGGAATCAGAAGCACTAAAGGGCTTCTTTGGTCTTTTTTTAACGAGGAGCCACTCATTCCCTGTGGACTGTCTGTGTGTTGCACTTCTCACAGGAAAATGACAGTAGTTTTGCACATAGACAGTTTGCACAAATAATGGAGACCTTGCTAAGAAAAAAAATCACTCCTTTTCTTGGGTCTCATCTAGAAGTAAATAATTTTGTGGAGCATGACAATTCTTTGCTGAGGTGTTTCACCAAGGTGAGACAGCCTAAATTTGTGAGAACAAAGAATTTAATTGAAAGAATTAAAAATTCTTTAATTTCCCTACCTATGCCAGCTTTTGGAAAAAGCCAGCCTAGTACACATACTTCTAGCAATTTAAGCTTGTGCTAAGTCTTAGGTACAGTGGTGCCTCGACTTATGACCGATGGATGTAACTCGAAATGGTCGTCAAGTCAAAGCACCATTTCCCATAGGAATGCATTGAAATACAATTAATCCATTCCAGCCAAAGAAAAAAGTCACCAAAAAAAATCACTGCAACACTCATTGGAAACGCAATTAATCCCTTCTGTCCGAAGGGGGGGGGAGAAAAGCAATGAAGCGTACATGACCCATTGGAAATGCACAGAAAACAAACAGAGCAGATCGGGAATGCACTAAGAACAAAGGGGACAGGTTTGTAAATGCACAGAAAACAAAAGAAAAAACAAGGGAAGCATGCAGGACCTATCGGAAATGGGGGAAAAACCCAAAAAGCAATCAAACCCCCCAAGACCCATCAGAAATAGGGGGAAAGCCAAAAACAAACAAATTCCCCAAGACCCATTAGAAATGGGGAAACCCCCCCAAAAAAGCAACCAACCCCCCAAGACGCATCAGAAATGGGGGGAACCCCAAAAGCATCCAAAAAACCCCAAGACCCATTGGAAATGGGGGGGAACAAAAAAGCAAACAAATCCCCCAAGACCCATCGGAAATGGGGAAACAACCAAAAAAGAAATCAACCCCCCAAGACCCATTGGAAATGGGGGGAAAACACACAAAAAAAACCCAAGACCCATCAGAAATGGGAACCCCCCCAAAAAAACATAACCCCCCCAGCTCAAAACCACACTGCAAAAACACCCAGAACAGTTTTTTAAAAGCAGAAAACAGCACCTTACCTTACTAGGCAGCCTGAAGCCTCCCTGCAAATACACACACATGCTGACTCAGAAGCAGAAGGAGGCAGTCCCAAGCCTCATCCGACGCACACTCTCTAACTGCTCGGGCAAAAGAGCTACAAAGAAGCAGCCTCATCGCCACCTACAGTTAGAAATTTGAATTTCCCACCTTTTTCCCTGCCTTTTTCTGTTCATAAGTGAAAGCTCTGGTCGTAAGTAAAAGCAAAATTTTGCAGCCGGAGCTGGTAACTCGAAATGGTCATAAGTAGGGATGTTCATAAGTCGAGGCACCACTGTATATGTATTGCCATAACCTATGTTCTGCTCAGGTTTGACCTTTTGGCACATTAGCACCAACCAACTGGAGAGTGTAATCTACTCTGTGTTCATGCAATGATTACAGCCAGGCTGAACGACTGTGATAGGCCATACGGGGAACTGCATTTGAAAAATCACTCATAAGACCTCTAATGATGCAGAATGAAGCCCAGGTTCTTGTAGGATCAGCATGGTCTTGAATGGCATACTTCCTGTTTTGAGGGATGATATGCAAGTGATCATCTTAGTTAGAATGTCGTCTTATAATGAATGGAGTATGGATAGCACCACGAAGACATAGAACTTTACTCTCAGGTAACTAAATTTAGCATTTTGGATTTTTTATTTGTATTCATTCTATGGGATGAATCATCAGAACATTCGGGCTTGTTCCACTTTGTTTGTTTGTTTGTTTGTTTGTTTGTTTGTTTGTTTGTTTGTTTGTTTGTTTGTTTGTTAGGCTTGTTGCACCTTTTTTTTTTTTTTCAAATTTGGATTTACTGTGCCAATCAGTTGCCACTACTGTGAGTCATAGTTATGTTGTTGTTTTGTTTGTTTGCAAATTTGGATTTACTATGCCAATCAGTTGCCATGACTGTGAGTCATAGTTATGTTGTTGTTTTGTTTTTCTGGGGGGTGTTCCCCCTCCTTTTTTGTATGTGGTAACGAAGTGAATTTTTTATTGTGAAAAATATGTTTGTATGAGAGTAGAGTGTCATGATGCCCAAGAGAATAGGTGAACACAAAAAGTAGCAGGTAATAAAACATATTATGATCCAACCAGTTGTAGCAATTAACGTTCTTTTCTTGCAAGTGTCACTATCAAGCTTTGGACTTCACAAGGACATATCATACCTATAGTGGTTATGTCAGTTCTAGGGCTGCAACTCTATCAGGAACTCTCAAGAACCTTCACCATTGTCTGTGCTTACTAGGACTGCTGGTAGTTTCAATTCATCAACACCTGGAGAGTGCAATGTTGCCCAATCATGCTTTGGAGCTTAATCTCAGCAAGCACTAACCCAGACCTTGCCCTGAAGTATTCTCAGTCCTAACAAGCTGTATCATAAAATATGTGAATTAATGTTGTGGAGGGAGTCCTTGTAAGTAAGTTCATGATGCCTTGATGTCCCTCTTGTGTCATCACCTTCCATATTGCTAAAATAATATGACATGATTGCCCAATCATCTCTCCATAACCCTGAAACCTAGCATTCGGGAATGCTAGAAAAATAGTGACTTCTGTTTTCAAATTCTGTTAATCCATTGAGCTTCTTAAACTTGTGGAA